GAAAGATTAAGACATGGACAATTAATGTAAAAAGATACTCTGACAGATGAGGAGTAGGATCAGACACCAGAGATATGTACTTTACAAATGGGAAACAACTAACAAGTACAACCCATGATCTTTCAGAACAAGTTTTTATAAAAAAAACAACAGTTTTATAGACAAAAACGGAGTTTATAATAGTACTGATTTATGCACAAATCGAAGCTCTCTCCCGACCATAGTTTAAAAAGATTAGAGCCGAGTTGGCTTTGCTGTCACATCATTCAGATTTCTCCTTCCATTACATTTATATGATATAGGTAGTATTTTTGTTTGCATTTTCACTAGATACTGCCAAGACAGCGTACAAAGAGACATTTACATAACTAATCATTTCATGTTGATATGTTAGGTGTTAACAGCTTCCTGATTGAGGACTTAAAAAAAAAACTCTCTTGAAGAGGAAAGGTTCTATGGACAGTAATAAATGTTTCCTAAAGTTAAGGTCTCCTTCTTCATGGATGGAGAAAAAGGGCAAGAGCAGAATGAGCCCTTACTAACAATATCCTGAGGTTACTACCAAATGTAATTCATACGCAGCTGCCAGTTCAGTCTGCACTTAACAAAGTTTGAGGCGAGCATTCCACATCATATGGAACAGTGTTTTATGTACTCTGTCTGGTATTGCTTAAGCCAGGTCAGTTCATTTTTCCGCTCTCTATAAAGTGTCAAATCACACTTCCCAGCCCTAAACTCTGGCAAGGAAAAGCCCACAGGTTTTTCAGTTTTAACTAACAGCACAAGACATGAAGCACTGGGGAGGTCAGTATACCTTGCATTGTGTGTCATGGTATTGAGACAATGTTTTCTTTGAGCCACAGATTGTAAGCAATATGAAAAAGCTCTCCGGTGACACTCTCATCTTTCAAAGTTACAATAACCTCAAATTATGTTTACTCCTTTTGTACTGTCAAGCTACGTGTGCCTTTTGGGCTGTAGTGCAAGTTACAACTATACTATTTCCAAGAAACTTTCTTGCAGCAGGCAAAAGTTTAAGAGATGTCTTCAAAGAGCTGCTGAAAAAGGGCAGGATCAAAATACAAAATTACTTCCAGTAACTGCCTGGCACACAGACAGCCTTCTACTTAAAAGCACCTTCCTTAGTTTTGTGAGCAGAAGAGCAGGGAATGGAAAAGAATCAGAAAAAGGTCATATTCACAACCAAAGCTGAAGCTATGGCTTACAATGATAGGTAGCACCAGTAAGAAAAGGAGCCAAGGATAGAAGATCCATGGCCTGAAAGTAAACACCTAGTCATGGTCATCTTTGTGGTAAGTTCAGGACAGGGAGATGGCTACTGCTGTCACCTTGTTTCCAGACATATATGGAACAAATGTCTGTGGTACTAAGGCTGTAAAGAAGTCCTGTGTTTTGCATGCTGACCTCCGCTTTTTGTGCTCTGTCAGTAGAGATGTGCATTTAATATTCCATCATCAACAACCACAATACAGCCCTAATCAATACTTAGTAATTTAGGCTTCAATTCACCTAAGTACACGCAAAGTTCTGCTGAAGTGGAACGGATCTATCTGAACACTTGGGTTGCATCACATGTACAAGATCATAAAGTTCCCAGCAAAGTGTAACTGAAATCTCACAAAAGTATGAAGTTATACTCTCCAAATGACAGAACAAGAATTGATGCTATAGACATGCTAACAATGCACCACTATGTTGAATGTTCACTGAATTAGGGGGGGAAATAACACTTGCCATCTTCCCACTTTCACTCTTTGATGCATTTCACTCGTATCTGAAGTTTTATGATCAATTGTTTCCCACTTCAGTTGTGTGCGAGAAGCTTGTTAAACACAAACTTAACTTGCAGTGTTAAGTGTACCGATAAATTTAACGTAAACAAAGTTTTCAAGTACTTCATAAATTCATCCAGAAGACAACGCTGTCTATTAACCTTCTCTTATCAGCTAAAAGATATATTTTCCTGATCCGGTCAAGGCAACTGGGGGGTCCATCACGTACATACCAGCAACCAGCTACTTACATTGACAAGATCAACATGGGGACAAAATCCATCCACTCCAAACAAGTGAATTTAGAGTAATACAACGGGGTGTGGTTCCAGTTTTTGTTACCAGCACACAGTAATAGGAACATGGACACACCACAACCCTGAAGAGGAAGTCAGCTGAACAGCAATCAGCAGCCAGATCTTTACTCTAGCTTTCTTCAAGAAAGCATGTGCCAATCTTAAAAATATGACCTAATTGCACTTTAACATTTCCCACAAAATCCTAGAATCAACATTATTGAAAAGTCTTTGAAAAGCATATTACAGACTTTAATTCTGAATATTTGAAGTAAGACATATTAATAGTTTACAAATTAAGAGAAACTATAGGCTATAACCCAAAATTTTGTTTTATTAAAAAACCAAGCCAAACAAACACAGTAGCTATGATGCAGAACAGTCAATACCTTATCTAAGTTCTTATAACAACCTCTTCTGGCTAAGACAAAAGCAATCATTTCGGGGAAGAGGTTTTACAGCTAGTTACCTAGAGAAGTAACAGAATACTTGTGAAGTCCAAGTTATTAAAAGAGATTCAGGAATTTCAGAAAATTTCAGGAAAGAAAAAAAAAGTTATTCCAAGAAGTGTGCCCTCCCCCAAACCAATTTACTATTTTTGGAAAATGTTAATTTCCTGGAATACCCTAATATTCATTTTCCCAGAAAACTCTTATTTTAAAAAGACTTATTCCTGCAATTTATGGGCTTGAGGCATAGGTAGAGAACCTATGAGTTGTCTTCAAAGTTCTTGCTATCACAAACTGAACTATGAAAGATGATGTACTATCTATTACATACTATCTGCTGGCAGCATGCTTTGACAGGCAGAGATAAAGCGCCACACAGAGTTATTAGTCTACACAAAAAAGCCACAACCCAATAAAGTTATCCTCAAATGAAAGTTGTACAAAAAAATAAGTAAAATGTAAGAAATGAAAATTCCTAGAAACTCAGGAACAGCATTTTAGCATATGCAACTCCCAGTTCCTTCCACAGGGCTACAGGACACCAGTGTAACAGTGTTTGGAAGTTCCTCAAAGATGCAGACTAGACACCAGTACTGTGAGTCACCTTCCCTCTTCTTGACCCCACGCTTTACTTTCTTTCAGTACAGTTAACTTGGTTTCCCTATACTATAACACACCACAGGAGTGACAGTGAACTTTTATAGGTGCATCCTGTTCTCTGCATTGTAATAAGTATGGGATGATTTACAAATCCGATTCCAAATTGTAAGCCAACTTCAGTATCATCTTCCAGAATACAGGGGATTCTGAAACTACACTTGTCAGATTCAGCAGTACTTCAACAAAACAAGCTTTTCTCTATATACAGCTACAAGGTCACACTAACAACTCTTAAATTTTTCCTAAAGGCTTCAGCCATGACTAGCCAGAATTAAAGGCTATCACCTTATGTGAGATACTGATTTGCATGCATAGACTAGTCTCACTTAGTGGCAACACTTGAGCTGCTACCTCTTTCTTACAGACAGGCCTCTAGTGATCCAAAATATCAGACCACAGATATATTTCTAATTGTTCAGAAACAGATGAAAAGACAAAGAACTTGAGGGACTAAACCAGAAACTGATTCTGCAGTAAGGCACCCAACTTTGATCAAGATTTGAAGCAAGAATTTCCAGTGAACTCTTACCTACAAGCATCTAGCTTCTCAGCATTTTTGAAAGTTTCCTCAGTATTACAATTTTTTGGTAAGTTATACAGCCTGGATACCAGCAGAATTAGGCACCACACATTGATTGGTGTCTCACATGCGTTGCAGAACACTTTTATAACAAGCTCAAGGCCGGATACGCTTCCAAGGCAAAAGCTCCTCTCAATCTATACAAGGAGAAAACTAAGCTGTCTTCAACAGTACTCTTTCACTAACAGCTTCCTAGAGAAGTAGGTTTCATTTTCTTCCACTTTATTCCTCTTCATCAAGCTCTGTCCCTGACCTTCCCTTGCTTGAACCTTCTCTGGAACTCAGCTGATTGTATGGCAAGCAAATTCAACTCACAAAACCTCACCTGGA